AGCAACATTTGTAAGATCAACACCAGCAAATTAAGTACCTTACCATCCTAAACAACCGTGATCCACACATTAGTCCGTCCAAACCTTGTGCCTGAAGATCTATACATGCAAACTCCCCACAATTCACAAGGTATTATGCAATTAAAGACATGTCTAACTACTAAGTTATCCTAGCTTACCGAAACACCAAGCAACTGCTGAAAATTTTAAACACGAGCTTTTGGCTCCGTAGGGATGAATCCTGACAGACATATACCAAAATTCCATGAGTTTTGGCCTTCCTTGCACAAAATTCCCTCCTCCCCGCTAACTTCAAACTTGGAGCAACTAAGGAAGATTTTTGGAGTAGTCCTAGTATGCTTTTCCATTGAAAGGGGTGGAGAATTAAGAGAATCCGTGTTTTCGAGTTTATGTCCCGTCTGACCCGCTATAGTGGCTGACACGTTGCCACAACGACACAACCATACCGGAAATATTCCCGCTATGGCGGGATGATGTCAATCCGGATAAATTTCAAATTTTAAAAAATTTGTTATGTCACCCCATCAAATCATAAATGATTTGGGGTCGCTATATGAACGCTCTAAATAATGAAAAGAAATAACAAGGAAATGACCTGAAGGGTCATTACAAAAGTAGAGTTGCACTAAAATAAAGTTGAGAATCCATCAGTGAATCCAAGATTGAAAAGAAAAATTAAACAAAGAAGATGGAATTAAAGTACTTATGAGACGCCAATATACAACCACACAATGTTTAGGCACAAAATAAAGTTTTTATTGTCGAAAGATTTTTATTGGACAAACTAATATATGAAATCGTGACTCACGAGACAAAATAGGTAGACCTAATGAATTCAATGAAGAAATTAAATTTACTGTTTGACCATAAATTTTGGATTAGATTTTGAAAATCTATCTTTGAAAAATTTCAAGTTTCAAAATTTGGTTCAAATCACTTTTTGGGAGTATTTTTACTTTCACTCACAAAAATTCAATTTGTTTCCAAGTTACTTTTTTTGCAAGCAAATTTACCACTAGACAAAGTGTCCAACGTCCTTTTATTAAAAATAAAAAGATATCAAAAGGGATAAGTACAGGAAATGGGGGCTAGGCCTTACCTTACCAATCCTAATGAAGTAACTAACCTCTACTAACTAACAAACATGAAGAAAATAAGAGCTAGAGAGAACTAGGTATTTTTGTGTTCAGCACAGAGTTTGTAACACACTCTATGATGATATTATAAATAAGGATGCTTAAATAATGTAAAAATATGACAACCAAGAAGAAGGTTGAGTTATCAACCTCAAACTTTCTTTTACAAATGCATGAATTAAAAAAGATTGATTGCCCATCAAAAGTAACTCAAAGTATCTTCCTCTTGTCTTCTTCTTCAAACCTATTCAACAACACTTGATAATTTATCACTTTTTTTTTTGATTTATTGGATAATGTTAATCCTACATGGTACAACCATATGATTCTGCTTTGCCAGTCGCTTCGATAGGTGTCTTGGAACAAACTCTCCAGTCACTTTATCGTCTCAACTATGTTGCCTTCCATGTGTCTTCTTTTTGTTTTTGTTGCTTCTACTTCTTTGTTGCCAAGGTAATATATCCCCTTTCCTACCAAATCTATCAAAACATATGTCCAGCAGATTGTCTTCCTCATCTTCATCAAAAGAATCCTCACCCAAATCAATTGTATGAGCATTTGTTGGACTAAATCTTGACAAGGCCCTTGGCTCATTCTTCTTTGCAATCACCCTTTTAGACAAAAATACGGAAGTTTCTTGGCTTAATTTTCTATTCAAAGCATGTGGTGAAACTTGCTATTCTTTTACCAAACCATTGTCATTCTCTATTGACATTACTACTTGTCCGGCTTCACCAAATGACTCCAAAGTTTGGTAAGTGACCCTATGATACGAGGTGTTCAATGTGACCATGAGTGGCTTGATCGTTGGATTGTATTTTGAGTAGCATGGCATCCTAATCTTCTTGAATAATCTTAGCTACTTCATGCGTAGAAATATATAATGATGGAGTCATAATATTACAATCTTTTCTAGCAGCCTTCAATAAAACATCAAAGTTATTCGAACATAATAGGTCTCTTGATGCTTTATTAATATCTTGCCTCTTCTCACCGTCCTGAAAATTTTGAGTCACACCCTTTCCCTACCTGGAGAATTATTTTGACTAGCTAGTTGAGGAAAGGGACCGACCACTAGTTTAATTTTTGTGTGCAACCAAAATTCAATTTTTAGTTGCATTCTCGTTTTCAACTAGTAAAACATGCTGCCTAGAATTTTCAGCATCTTCAACATCAACCGTATCAATTAGTTTTTATCTTGAATCAACTCCTGATGCATCAACCCCAACACTTGGTGTTTTCCCTGCTTTTTTAGTTGCATTAGACATCAAATTCAACCCAAATTCTCTTGATTGCACCTCATTAGTATCAGCCTACTGGTTATTGCTTTGATGACTACTATTACTTGTATCAGTATTGTTTGTTCGGTTTTACTCAGAAGTGGCAACAACCAATTGTCAATCTAAAGCAGTAGCTCTACTTTGATCAATACCTACAACCCTTCTTTTTTCATTTAATATTTCAATTGCATCACCTTGATATTTTTCAATATCGTCACTAGTATCTTTCAAAGCAACTTCAATGGTATTATTGATTTGTTTGTTGTTTTGATTTCTTTTCAAGATCAAACGACAATTACCTTCATCATGACCTTGGTGCTTATAATAATTGGAGTATAAATGCAGATTATCATACACAATCTCCTTAAAAACCTCGATTAATTAACCAGATTTTCCGTCCACAAACTGAACCTTATACGATTCAGAATATTTTCCATTACAACAAGTATAACCTCGACCCTAGCTGTGTTAGATATGAACTTGATTTGAGTAGCTTTATCAATATCTATTAGTTTCACAACTGCCGATGCTATAGACATCAATGACTTCTTTGACAATAAATCGGGAAATAAATTAGGTAAAGAAATTCATACCACAACTAAAGTCATTTCCTTCTAAGGATTATATCCAATGGACAATTTATTTCCAAGTAAAATGTATGTTCAAACATAAATTCTAATTTCAAAATATGACAACTTCATAAATTCAAATTTTCAAACTTCAACTTTAAAATTTATAGCCAAACGGGAATATTATGCATGATACTTTGCAGTTCTCATGGTGCTATATATGGATTTAGATAGACTTTGTTGGTTGGAATGTCCAAACATGTTTACTTTGAATTATGAGTGTGCGCTGATCTTCAATGAACTCATTTAAGGATAATTTCCAAGAACTATATAACTGTTCCTTAATGGAAATCTTATGGAAAATATTTCATCATGATACCTATAGAAAATTCCTTACAGTTGACATTGTCCTTTAGAATATTTCACTTGATATAGGTATATCTTCTTGGATTCAGCAAACTCTTCTAGTATAACTGAGGAGTTAAAAATTTAATTAGAAAGAAATCCAACACATTAATAGAATATATATTTATCTTCATCTTCACCCTTGGAAAAAACAATAAGAATCTATGTACATAATAAAGCTAAATATAGATAAGGTGATGTGACACCTCTCTATGGTCTAGAAAATTATTTATCTTTTATATCCTTTTAAAAAAATTTTACTTCATTATTTTCATTAATCAATCAATTAATTTTTTTACATCTAATTAAATCTCACGAGTTATATGAAACCTCCATCTTTTTGTATTCTTCACTTAAATAACATGTCTCCTTAATTCCCTTCTACCTAATTCTTGTATCAATCTATAAATAACAATTATGTATGGAGTTGTTGGATGCTTATTTTCATTTTCTCCTTTTTTATTATTATCCTTTTTCCTTTATTTTTTTTCCAACTCTAATGTATTTCGTTATCAAAAGAAAGGACATAAAAAAGGTGATGTGGAATTATGACCACAACTTTGATCAGTAGTGGGTTTGAAATGAGCATTATGGGCAAACACATTTTTTTTTCTTGGACTTCAAATCAAACAAACACCTATTGATTTCCAAGGGGGCAGTGTAGCTTTTCTAAATGGAAAGAAAGGTGAAATTACTAGAATAGGTGAGGTGGAAATTTTCTTTGGCTTCGGAGACAACGAAATCTGAATGCCACCTTTTTGACATATAAAAAGTATTCGTTGATGAATCAAGGCCCTTGTTGTAGAATTCGCTGCAAGTTTTCCTCTTATAAAACTTTGTTATATAATAGTTGTGATCTAAATTAGTTATGATGCGCCAATCCCTTGCTTCTTGCTCCAACTTAGGAGTAGACTGGCTAGGGTTTTTAGAGTTCCAGTTTTCTCTAGTTGGGCAATTTGATGGTCTTTTTCAGTCACTCTCCATAACATAATCAATGTCTCTTTTAGATAGGTGTGGCTGATTCTTTCGCCCATTTAATGGAATATGTCCATGGTATATAGATTCTTCTTTTTTCTTCATTGGATAATAATTAATATGTGGTCACCTTCTTCATCCTCTTGTGGTAGTTTCTTATCTTTTTGTTGTTCATCCTTATTAAGGCTTGAGTGCTACTCATCCACCTTGAAGGGGATAGGGAGAAATTAGTATGTTTTGAAAGACTTCTTTTCTCTTCTGGTCCCTCTATCCTGGCTTAATTCTAATCCTCCTTTATCTGGTGGGGCTAGTGGATTTAGGTCTCGAGAATTAGGACATGATAACTATTTTAGGACGAAGGTGATATTAAAGAAAGTGATAAGTAGATTTTCTGTCTCTCTTCTTCCATCGTGACTTATAACTATTCACAAAGTTGCAAAATGGTAATTCATTTGCTAGTAAATAATTGACGACTAGAAAAAAAGATAGTAAAATATATAAGCCAAAACCAACCAAGAGTAACGTTCCATAATGTTTACAAAATAAAATGCTTACTAGAGCACTTGATGAATACATATACTTGTAGTTATAAGAAAGACAAATACATGCAGTCAATCTTTTTAAAGCAAACAAATATAACATCTGCCTAGCATCTTCCTAAGACAAACTAAAATAGCCAGAATGCAACCCATAGAAATTGTAGCTAATTTATTGCAAGGAAAGGGGTGTTGGGATCTTTTGAACCTGCAAAACATTTGCAATATGGCCCCGAATCAACTTGAAGCGACAAGTTTCACCATTAGCTATCTTGTTATCTTTTCGAAATGCAGTCCATCCTCCTTTTATGATAACCATACTCCTATTATACTCTATTTCCACTCCCCATTCTACTCCTTCTTCATTAACCAACCTCATATTCTTCATGTTGATTATGTCTGTACTTTGGGCGAATCTCATCGGGATAGTCTAATAAACATATATCAAACAAACATGATCATCATTAGATTTTCAGGAAAAATAATTAGTATGTAAAGGAATGCAAAATCTAGCAAATCTGAAAACACAATGTACAAACTATTAAACCTTACCATATAAGTAGCGTGCGCCTTTTTTATAACCATTTCAAAATACGGATTGTCACCATTTAAGTTCACGAAGCTGTATCGACTGCTATTCTTTGGACCAACTTCTCCACTTCTACTATTGGCTTCTCCATCCTCTTGATTTACCGGTACCAATGTTGGGTTGTTACGTTGGTCGTGCTCCTCATAGCCTTCACTTATTTCTTGAAATAGATATCCAAATGCAATGTATTACTACTAAATGGATTCACTTAATAGCTAATAAAGCAGTTAAGATGTTTACTTACCTTGCTCAATTACATTAGCATTAGTTTGAAGGTTAACTGGAAGATCTTCCTCTTCTTCCTCGATTACATTAGCATTAGTTTGAAGGTTAACTGGAATATCTTCCTCGATTACATTAGCATTAGCTTGGAGGACTGGAATATCTTCCTCTTCTTCATCTGATTCAATCTCTTGATCTATTGGATATTCAATTTCCGTTTTACTATGATCATATATAGCGACATCAAAGTGAGAACGCGGGTTGTATGTGAAGACTAATAAGCTCCTGATGCTTATTGAGTAATAGCCACAGAAATCTTTCCATCCTTTGGCTAGCCAAATTTGGTCTTGAGAATTTTCCACTTCAACCTCCCATGCTTTTCCATGGGGAGCCTCAAGAAACACGGGGTTTAACATGTTCTTACAATGTCTTTCGGCAAATACAACTGGAATCCTCTGTGTGCAAAAGAAATTTGAATTCAGTTTCATACAGACAGAAGCAGACATACATAATTAGTTTAACATATATCTTGGACTGAATACACAGAAGCCGATACAAAATTGGCTGTGCATACAATATTTTTATTCGACCTATGTTAACCGATAGAATGAGTGGTGGGTCTTGCGAATTTCTTACCTCATTAGCTAGCTTCTTCTGTTGAATAAGGGCAATTATTCAATTTTTATGTGGTATCAAAATTCAAAGTAATGCACATCCTTATATATATTCAACTTGTGACTAATTACTTCTACAAGTACACATCCTTATATTTGGTTTATCAAATGTTAAATCCTCCAAATGTCTATTCTTGGGCGTGAAAGGAATGTTTTTTTTTTTATCGAGGGAATGAAATTGTCTTCTTACATGTTCATTTTGAGAAATTCTCATTGAATTAGACCCATATAAAAGTATAGTGATTGTTGGATCTAAATCAACAGTTAACAAGGACTGAAAATACAGTTGCACTAAAAAAAAATTGGGAATCTGTGACAAAAATCAAGATTTGGAAGATGAAGAAAGTACTTACGAGACGGCATAAGTCATCTGTGGAAGCAATGATTTGGATGAACTTAGGGTTGTTGGGAGAAGAGTTCCTAAAGGAAGAGCCATGGAACTTGTTTACCATGACGGCAGTTGAGCAATGGATGGGAAATCTGAGTGTTGAGGAATGCTTTTTATAGGACTTTGATGCACGAATTACGAGGACAATGCAATGCGTCTCATGAGGACTGTATTATATTTGCTCACGTGATGCGTCTGACTGATTCACGCGGACTGTATTATATCTGACTTAACTAAGGGGGGCTATGCCTTACCTTACTAATCCTAATGAGACAACAATATCTGACTCATGTGATGCGTGTGACTGACTCACGAGGACCGTGTAATGTACAAGGCAAAATAAAAACACATGAATAGTGTTTGACCAGATTTTCAATCAGATTATGAAAATCTGTCTTTAAATTTTTTTCAAGTTTTAACCCTGTTTTTTTGGAGAAGTTTCACTTTCACTCACAAAAGTTTGATTTTTTTAAAGTACAATACATATCGAAACACAACGTCATATTTCAAAAATTACAATTGTGTACGCTTTGTCCTGAAAAATGTGATAAAAAAGAAGAAAATGCATGAGATAAGGCCTTTGCTGGTTTGGCTCCCTCTTATTCTGGTCTACACTCCCCTTGGCCCTTGTGAGCTGGTCTTTCTTTTGCCTAGCTTCGTCCCGAACCAAGGAGGCACTAAGAAAAAGTACGTAATGGATACGCCTTCCAATTCTCATGTCTTAAGCACAGGAGATTTCTTCTGTTTCATCGATTTTGTCCGGATCCCACGATAAGGTGTTACAACTAATACAATTACCATATTAAGTTTCAATTGCAATAATAGTGACAAAAGGTATAAAACAATCAAATTAAAACACTTACTAAAAGAAATACGGAATTATCAATCTAGTAGTACAACATTGCATCTTCTTTATTAAATTAAATTGAACAGTAATAGAGATAGAACTATTTTGAAAGATATATCTGATTGTGCCTTTAGTCTTGCGCAGCTAATCAGGCCTTTCATCAGCTAAAACAAGAAAGAGAGTTATTTGAGAAAGTGCAACATTTTCTTGCGTAAATTAGTTTTGATGACAATAGTTTTTGGGGTTTTAATTAAGCAAGGCTCGATGCTGTTATATCCAATTGATTTGGTTTTCTCGAAATCAACTAGTCGACTTGAAATTATAGATTCATTTTGTGATCCACATGACTTAGACAAGAATCCTATATTTTACCCACCTAGTGATGTTTTGATTGAATTTCGAAGATCGTGATACCAATATATTAAGATTATTCTTTGACATATATCTTATATATTGACTAGAATAGAACATGCTCAACTCTTTCTAAAATAAAGATCCATATATACATTGTTTCCTTCCCTTTAAAAAAGGAAGGAACTAACACAAAGTAGTTGAACAAAATATACATCGGAGTTTAGAGTACTTAAAAAGTGAAATAATATTATATTCATTCAGCAGAAGGAAATATGATGACATTGAACAGAAGTTTGGGTCCATTCAAACACAAACTCCTTTAGCTTGAAGTACCATGTCACTATGTCTAGTGGAAAAAAATTCCTAGCTACTGACGGCGTTATGGTCTGTTAGTTTGAAGGATGCATTATCATATAGAACTAAAGATTCATCATGTAATAATTTGAGTTAGAAAAAAAATAATAGAGAAATTATGGCTGTGTGAAAAATCACTTTCTTTCAAGAGTCATAGGGATTACAAGCAATTCTTTATCAGAATACAACAAAGCCTGAAACCTATTTGTAATTGAATATGCTGATAGAGTGGGTAAAAGTCCCACATTGATTGTAGAGTGGACCGGTGGTGGTCTCCTTATATGGACTATGAAATCCTTCTTTTATGAGCAAGTTTTTGGGGTTGAGTTAGGTCTAGGTGTCATATCTTTACATGGTATCAGAGTTAGGTCCATCATCGTTTGGGCTCCTGGTTCGCGCGTCAGTTGGATTTGGACGTAAAGGAGGGTGTTAGAGTGGGTAAAAGTTCCGCATTGGTTGAAGAATGGACTAGTACTTGGGCAATCCTCCCCTCATGAACTAGCTTTTGGGGTTGAGTTAGGTCTAGGTGTCATATCTTTACATGGTATCAGAGTTAGGTCCATCATCGTTTGGGCTCCTGGTTCGCGCGTCAGTTGGATTTGGACGTAAAGGAGGGTGTTAGAGTGGGTAAAAGTTCCGCATTGGTTGAAGAATGGACTAGTACTTGGGCAATCCTCCCCTCATGAACTAGCTTTTGGGGTTGAGTTAGGCCTAAGTAGTGTCATATCTCTTACATACACCACATCCGGAAATTCATCGTATTTATAGAAGCAGTCAAGGAGACCTTTTCGAAAAAAATCTCATTTTCTGAATAGATGCAACCTTTTTGTTCAATTAAATTTTTTAATATTAATTCAAATTTTAAATAAATAAATTAAAATCTTTTATTTAATATTTAAGATCACAAATTTTAAAAGTTTTGTTGCTATATAAATATTATTACATTCATGTTTATAATCACTTATTTCAACAATGATCTTTGATATTTCTAATAATTAAGTGAGTCAAATTTTTTCACATGAATTGAAACAAGGGAGTTATTACTTGTATTACTACTAAATTCTAACGAAACGAGATGACAGATTTCATTATATTTATAGCTAATAAATCAGATAAGATGTTCTACTCTTCTAACTCGATTACATAATTAGTTTGAAAATCAACTGGACTATCATCATCTGCTTGTCCTCCTTACATGAGTAGTGCTTTTTTATGGCTTAAAGGCGCCTTTGACAATAAAGGAATGAAGACAGGCACTTGGCAATGGAGGGAAAGTAGAGTTGCAATAACATAGAGTTGGGAATCAGTCGGTGAATTCAAGAATAAAAAGATAAATTAAACAAAGAAGATGGGATTAAAGCACTTACGAGACGCCAATATACAACTACACCATGTTTAGGCACAAAATAAAGTTTTTATTGGAAAAACTAATTATGCGGTCATGATTCACGAGACAAAAGAGGTAGACCTAAAAAATTTCCCTAATAAATTCAATGAAGAAATGAAATTTACTATTTGACCATAAACTTTGGATTAAATTTTGAAAATCTATCTTTGAAAAATTTTCAAGTTTCAAAATTTGGTTCTTTTTGAGAGAATTTTCACTTTCACTCACAAAAATTCAATTTATTTCCAAGTAAAATGTATGTTCAAACATAAATTCAAATTTCAAAATATGACAACTTCATAAACTCAAATTTTCAAATTTCAACTTTAAAATTTATGCTCAAATTAATGGGAATATCATGCATGACACTATGTAGTTCTCGTGGTTCTAATTCTATATATGACATTTCGGTGGTTTGAATTTCCAAACACGTCTACTTTGAATTACGAGTGTGAGCCAATCTTAAATGACCTCATTTAAGGAAATACTTACAGTTTGAGGTGTGTCGATGACAATGTCCTTAAGAATATTTCACTTGATTTTGGTATATATTCTTGGATTTAAGAAGCTCTTGTATATAAAATATGAGTCAAAAGATTTAATTAGAAATAAATCCAACACATTTATAGAATATATGGGAGAAGAAATTTATCTTCATCTTCACCCTCATAAGGAGAAAAAACTACCATAAATTATATACATAATTATAAAGCTAGATATAGACAAGATGATGTGACACATCTCTATGGTCTAGAAAATTATTACTATCTTTTATATTATATTTTTTTGAATTTTTTTGCTTCATTATTTTCATTAATCAATTCGTTGGATAATTAAAAAAAAAATATTACATCTAAATAAATCTCATGAGTTATATAAAACCTCCATACCTTTGTATTCTCACTTAATTAATAACTACATGTTACCTTAACTCCCTTCTACCTAATTCTTGTATCAATCTATAAATAGCAATCATGTATGGAGTTGTTGGATGCTTATTTTCATTTTCTCCTTCTTTTTAATTAGTATCTTTTTTCCTTTATTTATTTTTTCAACGCTAATGTATATAGTAATCAAAAGAAAGGACATAAAAAAAAGGTGATGTGGAAATATGACCATAACTTTGATGAGTATTGAGTTTGAAATGAGCTTGATAAGTGAACACAATTTCTTCCTTGGACTACAAATCAAACAAACACCTACTGATTTCCAAGGGGGCAGTGTAGCCTTTCTAAATGAGAAGAAAGGTGAAATTGTTGAGATAGGTAAGGTTGAAATTTTCTCTGGCTTTGGAGGCAACAAAATTTGAATCCCACTTTTTGACATATAGAATGTATATGTTGATGAATCAAGGTCCATGTTGCAGAGTTCGCCGCAAGTTTTCCTCTTTATAAAACTTTGTTATATAATAGTCGTGAGCTAAATTAGTGAAGATGTGCCCAGTC